GACTATTTCGCGACTTTAGCCTTCAATGGTCGAAATGATTTCGACCATTTCGACCATTTCGGATATCCGAAATGATCTATTTCGACTTCATGTATACTCATTACATCATGGATACTTAAATTTTGATTTTGTATAACCAACTAATTTCTCCTTAATTTTTTTTTTCAGAGTTTTTTTGTGTATCAGGGAGGTTATCCGCCTCTGATTTAATTTCTTTTTGGTTCTTCAATCGCCTCTTTAACCCTTCATTACTAGAAGAATCTATATTATTTATAGATTCAAAATATCTTCTGATACGTAACTAAATAAAAATAAATTATATTAGATATAAATTATTAATTGATGAATCAAAATTGAATTGAGAATACCTTCGCAACTAGCATATCGTTCACCATGGTAATTGGTTCATCTATCTCATCCAATTTTTCCAGAATTTTTGTAGAAGGATATCTGCGTAGTCGACAAATAGATCCACATGGAATGTCCATGACTAACTGCTGGAGATATTGCCCTGGAATAATAATAAATAAAAGAATATTTATTAGAAGAGAAAAGATAAAACTCTTAAAAGATACTATTCAAATAAGAGGTATTTTACCAGATTGAAGGAAGCCTACAATCTCTAGTTGGTGAGATATTACAGAACTAAGTTTTAACTTTTTTACTTTTTTGCCTAGTGTATCTCGCATCATTTTTGGTAGTTTCCTTAATCTATCACTCAAGTACTTCGTTCTGTCTACTCCATCCCATAATCTACCTTCTTCACTTATTGCAAACTCATTCAGTGTCCCTAATTCCCGTAATATTCCATCATACTTACGGCCAAGAAACTTTCTAACTTCCGAACTTTTTCTTCCCTTAATTTTTCACGCAAGAGCAACCTTCACCACTAAAAGAAATGGAAATTTCATTAAAAAATTTTATATCTCTATATCCAATAAGCATATATTTAGAAAATAATAGCATATTTACCGTATGAATTCTGAATTTACCACATCTAAAAGACAACAGTCTACTATTACGCTCCAGATATTTGTCTTGAACCAGCCCTCTAAGTGTGAATTAGTATAGTCATTAGGCCTAAGTTTATATCATGGAAGCTTGTAATAACAAATTTTGGTTAGATAATGTAAAGATACTCGCAAAATGCTATCAATTACTCACAAATGAGAGAAAACTTCATGTATGTAGTGATAGTCAAAATCTCTCTGCGAGTCATAAGAAGGTAAATTGATACCAGCATTGATTAACTTACGTAGACCTTGAGGGTTTTCTAGAGGACACGATTGTAACATAATGATTAATATCGCTACGCAGATAGTAATAGTTAGAGCTCTGAATCAGGTCAGGTCAACCTGTGACCCGATCCGACCCGACCTGAAAAGTCGGGTCAGGTAGACAAATTTTCAGGTCAACATCAGGTCGGGTCAAACTTATAAACCGACCTGATAAAATTCAGGTCAACCAATC